CAAACCAAAACCAATTAAAAAATTAAAAAAGCAAAACAACTTCCTTCCTACATGTTCCTGATAAGATAATCTGGAAAACTGATTGTGTTTTTTAATAAACAAGTATCAGATTGCATGAGGCATTTTTTGGAAGTTAGTAGAAGAGAAAGGGGTGGTCGATTGGGCCACATTAAACACTTAGCTTCAGAGGAAAGTCTTAAGTTTTGTAAGGAGAAAATTATTTTGAATTTAACCTAAGCCTTGCCAGTTTTATGTTCTTTGATCTAGGCAAAATAAAGTCACTGTCAGACTTAAAAAGGAAAATTTCTATAAGAAAATAAATATCTACTATTTATTTGGCTTTAGAAATTAAATATGTTTGTAATCTGACAGAGTAGATGAGTCATCTTTCAACTTTTGACTGACAAATTTTTTAGTGATAAAAAATCACAGTTAACCAGGTGGTGGCACACACCTTTAGTCCCACTACTTGGGAGGCTGAGGCAGGTGGATCTCTGTGAGTTCCAGGGTAACTGGGGCTACAGGGAGACCCTGTCTCAAAAAAGGCAAAAAAAAAAAAAAAAAAAAAAAAAAAGAATCACAATTTATCATTAGCTTTTCATAACTATTTTTCAGAGATTAAAAAAATACAAAACAGGCTGAAGAGTTAGCTCAGGGATTAAGAGCATGTATTGCTCGCATAGGATCTAAGTTTGGTTTCCAGCACTCACATTGGACAGCTTACAACTGCCTGCAACTCCAGTTCTAAGGGATCTAACACCTTCTTCTGACCTTTGCAGGTTCCTGCATGCATGTCTATATACACATATGCACACATACACATGCAAAATTAAAAATAAGATAAACCTTAAAAAAAATCTAAAGATAAAATCAAGAGCAAACGGGTAATAGTGTAAAGATTCCTATGGTGATTAAAATTTGTTTGATAATTGACCCTCATTAAAATGACATCTCTTAGTGCAGGAATAAGTAGTGGAAAAAATAAAGGCATTTCTGTTTTGTGTCCTTTTTATGAAGGTGTGGCAAGGACCCACCATGCTAAATGAAGTACTCTTTTTCTCTTGAATGGATTTGAACTAATATGCAGGAAGAATTACCAAGATAAAGATGTTTGTACTGTAGCACTAGTAACAAATAAGAATGTCACACTAAATCAAACTTAAAAAAAAAATCTCAAAAGGAGGGGCTAGAGAGATGGCTCAGTGGTTAAGAGAACTAAGACCCAGGTTCGATTCCCAGCACCCACATGGCAGCTATGAACCATCCTTAACTTCAGTTCCAGGGGAATCCAAAGCCCTCTTCTGACCTCCGTGGCATTACATTACATGGGTGCACTCACATACATGCAGGCAATACTCTCATACACATTTAAAAAAAAAAATCTCAAAAGGAAAGAGACACCCACTTTGTCTATATGGAGTAGAACCTTGGTGACTTGCTAATAGGATTGGTCATTAGTTGAGTCTGAATTTGTGAAAAATGGAGATAATCTCACATCATGTGGGTCCCTTAGGTTTTTCTGCATGGTTTCAGGTATTTGGAGAGATTTGAGCCTTACCTACTTAGGACAGATGTGACCAGCTTCAGTGATGCCCTGGACAGAACAGAACCTTGCTAAGTGTATCTTCAGTGGTGTCTGGTATCTTTTAATGATTCAATCATTTAAAATTAAAGAATAGAGATGCTTTCTGTGGAATGCCAGGGACATGAAAACTTTGGCATCTTAGTGTTTCTACTGTATTTACTAAGATTTTACTCTTAGGGATCTAGGAGCTTTTCATATAAATGTATTTAAGTTTGGAGACACCGGCGACATGACAGTGAGGTATATCTTTTTAGATGTAGGTTAAGATTGAGATGCTAGAATCTTTTCTTGCAATGCTTTATTTTTTTTAAAAAAATTCAACTTTTTCAGGGAGGTAAAGGGAAAGAAAGAGCCTGAGAAAAAGGAACAGTAGGAGACAAGTGTTACCAAGTGGGAAATGGGTAAAATGGGACTCTTTAGGGAAAAAGGAGGGTTATACAAGAAACTATGGGGGTAAAGGGGAAGAAGGAGCTCAAGAGAGGGGGACCATAGAAGACAGGTATTATTGTAGGTGAAATGGGAAAAATGGAGGTTCATTACTGGGAAGGAGGACAGAGGGCTAGACAGGGGGAGAGAGAGGAGAGAGATAAATAACGCTTAGCTGATGTGAAAAACCAGAGGGAAATGTATTAGTTCAAAAGCCTACTGAAAAAATACACATACAGTATCTCTGTGTGTGTCCTTATGTATAGCTGAATGCTATATAAGAAACAGTGTCAGACAGGAGAAACCGCCCTTCAAATTTTTGGCCAGCGTAATCCAAGAGACTCCTTAAATTATATAGACTATTGTCATAGCCCTTGATTACCTTCCAGAACTTGAAGGTAGGACATACTTCGGACACAGGACCTGGAGCAAAGGAGCTGGAACTGACCAGAAAGTCTTCCTGAAAACTAGCCCTCATAGCTTTGGAGAGTACTATGCAAGGTGCTGCAGGAGAACATCAATTGATGGTCTAACCCCAGCATTAAGGCCTAATAATCACATCATTGGCTAGCACAGCAAATGACATTGGTGCAATAGTGGCACTTTTATCTTGGGGAATCAACAGCTACCTCATTGGACTTAAAGCCCACTCAATGGAAGGGAACTCGTGTGTGGTACTGTAAATGTAGCCAGATCCACATGGCTGGAGAGGTCATAGATCTTAGAGAAAAATCCTAAGCCTGTCACACCCCTAAACAAATGTAATATCCTACTGTATGTTAAATATGGATCCTCATATTTACAGACAAGTATGCTAGTCACACTCATCAAAGAAGCTTCTTTTGCAGCAGATGGACACTATTACAGAGTTCCATAACTGGTCACACACACAGAGTAGGTGTCTGTGAAACTCTCAACCCTAAGTGACACATCTACATTGGAACCTTTACACCTAAGGCTCACAGAACATAGTGGAGCTAGGGGTAAAGAGAATACTAATGCATCTCTCAACTCTCATCAACAAAGCTCCCTCGTGCAACAGATGGCCATGAACACAAAAGGACACAAATGGCCAAAGAATAGACAATAAGAGTCTTCAGAATGTGAAGTCCTGTCCTTGGACAGGACTCCTAATTTAAATTCCACCCACTTAGGGCTCAGGGACCATTGCTGAAGAGGGGGTGGAAAGATTTTAAGAACTAGGGGAAGAGGTATATGACCATATGGAAATAGCCTTATGAGCACCTTGAACTTTATTCACATGAATCTACAGCAGTGGTGTCAGCATGCACAAGACCCATGCAAACTCAAGCAGACAAAAATCCAGCATAGAACGGGGGATATGGGCAGCAGGTCCTCAGATCATCAGGCTTGGTAGCAAGCACCTTTACTCACTGAGCCATCTAGTCGGCCCTCTTGCTCTCTCTTTTTTTTTAAGACAGGGTCTTCTGTAGCCCCAGCTGGCCTGGAATTCGCTATGTAGACTAGGCTGGCCTGAACTCACAGAGGTCCAACCTGCCTCTGCCCTCTTACTGCTGGGATTAAAGGCATGTGCCATCATGCCCAACTGAGAGTAGATCATCTTTAAGGGAGTGACTTTAGATAAGACTGACTAGACTCCAGTGAATGAACTTGCACCGAAGGACATCTGGGTACAACTGTTTGACCGGATAGGCCTTGAAGGCATATATAACAGAATGTATGAAATCCCAGGGTTGGGGGTATAAAGATGATTAAGATGTTTTGCATGAAATATACAAAAATTCAATAAATTAAAAAAAATCAACCTTTAGCACCACTAAGATAGCTTTTTGTGAAAAATTTTTAAGTAATTTTATGACAGAAGTAATTTGGAAGAAGAAAATCAAACATGTAACAGTACTATACTTTAGCAAAAGCATAGATGTTTTGTGTGCATGATTTATTCTTTCAATATAAATGCCACATGGGTTTGATATCTAAATCCCAATTTGAACTTTGGGAGAGAATTTGATTCTTAAAATGTCTAAATCCCAACTTGAACTTTGAGAATTTGGTTCTTACTGTCTTGTGAGAAATGACTGTTTTCTCGTTTTATGGAAAGCTGTAATTTTGAGTTGAAGGAGTGTGTAAGAATTAAGATTGACTTGAATTGCATAGTTTGACTCAAAATTAAACTTATAATATGGTAAAATGAGATAAAATTCTCCACACTATAGAAGTCAGCCTGGAGACGGCTTGTTGCAAATGTCTTTTTGTTTGTTGTGCTATTTTATAATATAATTTGAAGAGTTTTGTAAAGCAAATGTAGAGGTCAATTTGACTGTATTAGTCTAATTTGCATATCTCCTCTCTTGTTAAACAAGTAACATTATTAATAAGATGCTTCCCTAGAACTGAAAGAAAGGAATTTTTCTAAGAAGGATGAAAAGGAGGGTGTGATCACTATTTACCCATAAGTATGATTAATATGTACTTTTAAAGATAATATAAATTAATGTCATGTATCATTATTGACTTTGGTAAAAGTTGTGTCAAGAAAGCAAAAAACTTTTATATTCAATGTATTTCAATTTCATTAGGATAAATGGAAACCTGAAGAGGTGTTTAGAAACCTGTTCTGAGTTTCTGTCAGGCAATAATGTATATATAGAAATTGAGAGGCAGTATTTCATGTCATTAAAGTTCAGGGTTTAAAATTTTTATTTTCATGTGTATGAGTGTTTTGCATGTGTATGTCAGTGGACCTGTGCATATAATATCTGCAGAGGCCAGAAGATAGCATTGGATCTCCTGGAACAGGAACTATGGCCAGTTAGGTGTCATGTGGGTGCTGGAAACCAAACCTGGGTCATCTACAAGAGTAGCCAGTGCTCTTAACTGCTGAACCATCTCCCCAGCCCCCAGGTTCAGGTTTTTTGAGAATATAAAACTGCATGTAGTGGTTTCATTTTGGTACACAGGAGAGGAACAAACAAAAACTGTTCAACCTGTTGTCTTGTTCTAATAGATGTGTATGGACTCAGAAAAGCACATGATCTACACCTTTGGTGGTAGAATTTTGACTTGTAATGGCAGCGTAGATGACAGCAGAGCCAGTGAACCTCAATTCAGTGGGCTGTTTGCTTTCAACTGTCAATGTCAAACCTGGAAACTTCTTCGAGAGGACTCCTGTAATGCTGGGCCTGAGGACATCCAGTCTCGGATAGGACACTGCATGCTGTTCCACTCAGTAAGAATATTCTGTACATTCCATTCTGCTGTTTTGTCATGCATATCTTTATAGGGAAAGAATGGTAGAACCTCAGTTCTTCAGTGAGAGACGAATAAAGCTTTTCATTAAAAATAAATGATCAATATAGCAGTGATGAGAAAATGAAACATTTTCAGTAAACTGCTAGTTGTGAGATGCTTTCCTTCAGCTTGGTAATTCTAAATGATCATTACCTGAATACTAATCTAGACAATGTTATTACTAACTTCACTTGTTGTGTGGTTATTTACCTTTTTAGAACTTTACACTTACTAACTTTTCTTAGTCATTAGAAGGATAATTTTTGAATGTTATATTTTCCATTAAGTACAAATTGGTTTTATATAATTATAACAAAAATTTATTGATAAAGCTGACATAGAAGCTTTGCCTTAACTTTCTGAAGTGTTTTCATAAAATCCATCTTTTTGTGAACAAAGCTTTAGACTAACATAGATGATTTTGTTTATGTTACTTAACACATTTTAAAATGCTCTGCATGAAGTAGATTATAATAAATTTTGTGTACTCATCTTTCAGTTTGAGCAGTAACCTTTTGATTTTTTTAAAACCTGTATCCTAATCTAATTTCATTCCTTGATATTTCTTTGATTTTTAAGTTTATTCTTAGATTTTACTTTGCTGTCATATTTTGAAAGCAAAGCTCAGATGCTGTAGCCTTATAGAACAGGCCCTTCTGATCTGTAAATTTTTCATCCACAGAGTCAACCAACCATGAATTGAAAATATTTTAAAATTCTTTTTGTTTCCATTAGACATATATACAGACTTGAAAAAAAACCTTATTCCCTAAATAGTACAACTGTTTACATGTCCTATAGTTCCTTTTAGCCATTAAAAGTAATATAGAGGTTGTTTAAAGTATATGAGAGGATGTGTGTAGGTTACATGCAAATCTATGCCTTTATATGAGGGACTTGTATGTCTATAGATTTGTGCATCCATGCAAAGAGCTGGAACTAATCCTGTGTTGCTACTGAGGGACAACTGTATCTGCAGATACTTCAGTATATAACTAACAAATAAAAAGTAAAAATTGTGTACTGTTATCATAGCCAGTCTAAAGTAATTTGTTAATATTATATATTGCCTAGTCTTCATTCATTTTTTTCTAATAACTAAAATTTACCTTTTCACAATTGGCTTATGTCATGAACTATTTGGTTACCCTGAAATGAAGCCATATGGAATAGGTAATAGAAAATATGATTTGGGGGCCAAGCATGATGATGTACACTTGTAATACCAGCACCCCTGGAGGCTGAGGCAGGAGGACCACAAGTTTGAGGTCAACCTGGGCTATATAGTAAGTTCAAGGCCAGCTTGGAACACATAGAGAAGCCCTGTCTTAGAATGGTTGGGAGTTGTGGTGCAACTCTTTAGACCAAGCTCTCAGAAGGCAGAGGCAGGCGAATCTATACTAGTTCAAGGCCAGCATAGTACAAGTTCAAGGCCAGTGAGACTGCCTCAAAAAAAAAAAACAAAAAAAAAACCTAAAAAACCAATATGTGGGTGACTAAATTATTCTTTTGTTGATTTTTATGTTAAAGACAAGGTCTCACTGTAGCCCCAGCTGGCCTGGAACTTGCAATGTAGACCAGGTGGCTATCCTCCATCTCTTCCTGCCTCTGCTGAGATTAAAGGCATGTGCAACCATACCTGGCTTGAAATTTTTTTAATATATATGAAAATTTTAAATTCAGTGCCTAATTTTGTATCTGTCTTTGACCAGTAGGAAATCTCTTCCACACTCATACATACACTTTTATCTTTTGGTAAAACTAAATCATGAGTTCATAATGATAAATCTGGTAAATCTAGTTCAAAATAAATAGTCATTTTCTTTTATGTAATGATTTTGATTTTGTACTTATGTATCTTTTAAGGTTAAAATCTTATTTTATAACAATGGTGTTATTTATTTCATCTATATTCCGACTGTTAAAACTAACAACAAAAGCACCAGTGCTTCCAAAATTAAATTACTTTCTGATTTTTTTTTTTTTTTTTGGTCTTTTTGAGACAGGGTCTCCCTGTAGCCCCAGCTGTCCTGGAACTCACTATGTAGACCAGGTTGGCCTTGAACTCACAGAGATCCGCCTGCCTCTGCCTCCCAAGTGCTGGGATTAAAGGCGTGCGCCACCATGCCTGACTACTTTCTGATTTTTTATTTGACCACTAAGAATATATTGTCAAAAAACTGAATTGAAGTGCTAGGTGTGGTGGCACACACCTTTAATTCCAGCACTTGAGGCAGGTGGATCTGTGAGATCGAGGCCAGCCTGAGATGGTCTTCATAGCAAGTTCCAGGCTAGCTACATAGTGAGACTCTGTCTTAAAACAAAACAAACAAAACAAGAAAATTAGCAACAACAACAAAACACTTGAATTAAAAACAACTTCTGAATATGGTCATGATTTTCTATGGTCATAGCTTTATGTACGGACTGATTTTTTTTTCTGTTTTTAAATTATAATTTTATTTTCTAATTAAAACTATATGGTTATAAAGTAAAACTCTTAGTCAAGATCCTTTTAGAGAGCTCTAGTTTTTATTCCTATCCTAAAGGATAAAGTGGAGTTCTTTTCCTTTCAATATGGGTGACTGTCCTATATATTATGTAATTATGTAATTTTGTATGTTTGGTTTATCAAAACACACTTCTGTCATTCACATTCTCTTTCTCTCTCACAAACACAACACACACACACACACACAGAGGCATGCACACACTTATAGTTTTATATATATAACTGTCTTTTCTTAACAAAAGAGCTAGCTTACTGTTTTACTTTAACAGGGAACCCTAGAGAGTACCTCTTAGTAGTATATAGAGAGCTGCCTCTTTCTTCCTTACTCCAGCATAGTAATGTTGCTTGTGATCTATCTTATAAAAAACTACTTTTGTAGACGTTAAATTTTAAAAGGATCACTCTGAATTCTTCACAGAAATAACAACTCCCTCCCTTTTTTCCTTTTTTAGAAAAATCGTTGCCTGTATGTATTTGGTGGCCAGCGATCTAAGACCTATTTGAATGATTTCTTTAGTTATGATGTGGACTCTGATCATGTAGACATAATATCAGATGGCACCAAGAAAGACTCTGGCATGGGTAAGAACATGTCTCTTGCCTTAACTACTTTTTTGTGGAAAAACTAATATCTACTTTCTTTCTGACCATCCTTCACATTTTCTCTATTTTTTATTTTTATTTATTTTTTTTTTATTTTGGTCTTTTTGAAACGGGGTCTCCCTGTACCCTCAGCTAGCCTGGAACTCACTGTGTAGACCAGGCTGGCCTTGAACTCACAGAGATCCACCTGCCTCTGCCTCCCAAGTGCTGGGACTATAGGCGTGCGCCACCATGCCTGGCTCTATTTCTTTAATTAAAATTGTTCTAAAAAGAATAAAACTCTCCAATTCCATCTGTTTATGTGAACACCATTAGTTAAAGGAGAAATATAATAGGTGAGTTTCTGAACGAATTGTGTATTTACTTCTTGAAGGATGGATTTTGAAAGAAGCAGCATCTTCTGATGTTCTCTGCCTTCTGTTTTCACTATAGTGAACTATAGATTAAACACTAGAAGAGTAGAGGGTGTCTTTGTTCTAAGGGACATCCTTGTGTGTTTAGTGACATCTTGTAAGTTTGAAACTTACCGTCTAAGAAGGTAATCTAATAATAAAGTGGCCTTTGCCAAGTTATGCATATTGCCTTGGCTTGATTAGTAATATGTACCGTTTTCTATTTGGGAACTTGAAAGATGGCTCAGTGGTTAAGAGCAACTTGTTGCTCTTTCAGAGGAACTGAATTCAATATACAGCAACCACATGAGGCGGCTTACAGCTGCCAGTAACTCCAGCTCCTGGGGAATCTGACAGCTCTGGCCTCTGTGGGCACCTGCACTCATATGCACACACCCATATGCATATACAATAATTTAAAATAAAAACAAGTTTTTTTTAATCTTATTTTGCCAGGCATGGTGGCACATGACTTTAATCCCAGTACTCTGGAAACAGTGGCAGGACTGGTCTACAAAGGGAGTTGTAGGCCAGGCAGTACTTAATAAGACCGTCTCAAAAAAATCCTCCCAAATCTCAATTTGACAGTTGTTTTTTTTCCTACCTGTGTTTACTATATCCCTAAGAGTACATTTAAGACTCAGTTTAACAATAGGGTTAGAAATTAGATCAGCTTGAGACGGGAGAGATGGCTCAATGGTTAAAAGCACTGACTGCTCTTGCTGAGGACACAGGTTTATTTCCCAGCACCCACATGGTGATTAATACCTTGCCATAATTCCAGTTCCAGGGGATCTGATGCCTTCTTCTGGCCTTCTTGGACAGTACATGCATGTGGTACACTTACATACATGCAGGCAAAACACTCATAAAATGAAGAAAATATTTTGAAAAGAAATTATATCAGCCTGATTTTCATTTTAGTTGTTACATATAAAAAGATTCTTTTAATTATGGTGCTTTTGCAAAATAAAGTTTAAATACCTATGTTAGAGCTCAGACGATGATTCTGTCAGTAAACTGTTTGCTGTTTAAGAGCAAGGACCTGAATTTGGATCCCCAGGACCCATGTAAAAGCTGGGTGCAATGTGTACTTGGGGGGAATGGAACAGATGGATCCTTGAATAGAAGAAGACAGCTAGTGTTGACCTCTGGTCTCCATAGGCACAAGCCCATACAGGCACAGACCCATATGCGTGCGCGCACACACACACACACATCTATAATCTCCTCCTACATAAATACATATGTTATAGGTATCATTTATGGGTACTATGTTAACATAAGCTTCTTTTAATTAAAGTCGTTTACATTTAAGAAGAAAAACTGGGTCAGCAAGATAGCTGAGTGAGTAAAAGTACTTGCTTTGTAAACCAGATGATCTGAGTTTGATCTCTGGATCCCATGGTGGAAGGAGACAACTGACCTCTAAAAGTTGTCATCTGACCTCTGCAGGCTCACTGTAGGTATGCATATACCCACCTTTTCACAAGCACATACACAATACTAGTGAATTAGAAAATGAAAAAAAATTTAAAAAGAAAAATATATAATACATGAAAAGATATATATATATATATGTATGAAAAGAGACATCACCACAGTAAATTTCATGGCCCTACAGTGAGCATTTTTTTAACCATACAATGGAAAAACTATAATCAGTTGTGGAGATTTGAATGAGAAGTGTCCCCCATAGGCTCCAAGTATGTGGCACTGTTTGTGGAGGTTTAGGATGTGCTTCCCTGCTTGAGGAAGTATATCACTGGGGGCCAGCTTTGACAATTCATAACCTTGGACCATTTCTGGTTTCCAGTATCTTTTTCTCTTTGCTTCCTGTGTGTGCTTGAAGCTGTGAACATATCAGCTTTCTGCTCCAACCACCTCTGCCACCATGCCTCCCTGCTATAATAGACTTACTCCTCTGGAACTATAAGCCCAATAAACTCTTTATACTATAACTTGTCTTGGTCATGGTGTTTTATCACAGCAACAGAAAAGTAATACATTAATTTAACAAAAAAATGGAATTAAAAACAGTGGGATGATAATGCACATGTAGTAAAAATCTTAACTAAAACAAAGTCATTCTGAGGCTGGAGAGATGGCTCAGTGGTTAAGAGCACTGGCTGTCTTTCAGAGGACCCAGGTTTGGTTACCAGCATCCTCTGGCAGCTAATAATTATCGGTAACTCCAGTGCCAGGGGATCTGTTGCCCTCTTCTGGACTCTGCTGGAACTGCATGCACAGGGCCCACTAACATACATTCAGGTAAAACACATAAATAATAAAATATTTAAAATAGTAGATTCAGCATATGATTTAAAAATACATGCACTCAAATGGCTAGTGTGTCATTTGTACAAAATTTTGTTTACTTATTTATTTTCTATTACCATGGGATACTGTGGAGATATATGACTTTTTTTCTTCCTCTGACTTTTAAGAGTTATTCCACATTTTACAGCATCTTCCTTCTACCAAAAAAAATTTTGCTCTTTCCTTAAAAAGGATTGAAAGTAGTAACTGATGTTGAAGGCTACTATATGCCAGTTGATTGTATCCAAGGGCATACTTCTGGGACAAAGCAGTTATATTCTCTTAAAGTATTCATAGTCTAGCTAGTAAATATTATTTTGATAGACAGTAATAACTTCATGGGGTATTTTGTTCTTTTTTTGGTTTGGGGAGGGGGAAGCACTAGAGTGCTGGGAATCCTGAGCTTATGCTCTGCCACTAAGCCACATCCCTACCCCCAATCACTATTCTTTATTTAGACTGTACTGTATGTCAGCTATCTTTTGTTGGTGGTATTATCTGATTTACAAGAAGCTAACTAATACATTGAGCATTATACAGCTAGGTGATGATGGAGCTGAAACTTAGGAGTTAGAATGCAGGGAAGGTTTTTCCACCATGTGGAACCACTTCCCAAAATTAAAAGAAAGAAAATTGTCAAAGAATAATAATTAAAGAAAGCTACGTAAACTGTATTATTTTACTGTGATAAGCTTAATGAGTATTATTGTAAAATTTTAAATTAGTAATAATTGTGTAGTCATTTACAAAATCATTATTTGATCATGGTTATGACTAGCATTAGAATTACAAATTTGTGGCAGTTCTAATGTTCATTTTTTGTTGTGATTAGAAAAGTAACATTCAGGGGCTAGAGAGATGGTTCAGTGGTCAAGAGCACTGGCTATTGCAGAAGACGTGGGTTCTGTTCCCAGCACCCGGCAGGTAACATATGTAATTCCAGTTCCAGGGGATCTGACCGCCTTTTCTGACCTCTGTGGGCATTGCAGTATGATATATGCAGGAAAGACACACATACACATAAAATTTAAAAATAAAATACAAAAAGAAATTATTCTCATGATAATCTAAGAAACAGAATGATACAAAAAAATTCAGTTCATTCAAATGTAACCTATTAACGCTGATAAATTTCCTTCTAATATTTTAAAAGTGTTAGTATAAAATTTACATTTTTATTTTCTAATATTTTAAAATTTACATTAAACTGTGATGATTTTTCTTCATCATAGTTTTGTTTCCATGAGCCAAAAGGGCAAATATTCTTATTCACTACTTGGTGCTATTATCAACCCTTCTGAAATCAAACTTGCCATTTCTGTTACACATTGTTCAGTTTTTAACTGGTTTATAGGAAATTGCCACACAATGCAAACAAGTCCATTCTTTAATAGTATTTGTTGATTGCCAGTATTTAGTTTTTTTTAGACCCTCTTCACGTAGTCCAGTTTTCTGCTATTTACCAAGGATTGTTTGAGGCACTAAGAATCCACTTGTGGACCCTGAGGAATAAGCTAATTCAGAAAGCTCACATTCCAGTGAAGAGTGATCTGCAGTTGTGTTGGAGAAAGCAGTTTGGATGCTGTGATGATGAGGAGCCTGGGAGGCACCATTTAGATGGCTTGGGAAACCATGTCTGTGGAAGGATCTTTAAGGTTGAAGATGAGGATTAGGAATTAGAGAGGACCACCCAAAGAACAGAGAAGAGCAAGTCAGAGTGTAAAGTAAGCAAGAACATTGGTAGAACATGATGTGAAACAAATGGGACTAGTTCCATTTGAGGCTGGGGAAAGTTGGTGTGAAATGAGATTAGAGATCATACATGAGTCTAATTAGTTAGTGCAGGGAAGTTTTTTTTTTTTTCTCAAAGTTACCGAAAGATTTAATTTCAGGGTCTTGATTTGTTATCTTTTGAAAATAATCACTCTTATTTAAGTATACATTTTCCAAGTAATCAATTTTGACAATATTCTTAATGAGTTTCATTGTTCAGAAGCTTTGTATACAATTATTTACTGAGGAATTTTTAAAAATTTTATGTGTATGCATGTATTGCCTACATGTGTGTAAGTGTATCCATGTCATGCAGTGCCGGTGGAGAACAGAAGAGGTCGTTGGATCCCCTGGAACTGGAGTTGTGGACAGTTGTTAGCTGCCATGTGGGTGCTGGGATTCAAACCTGGGTCTTCTGCAAGAACAACCAATGCTCTTAACCACTGAGCCATCTCTCCAGCTCTTATGGAAGATTTTTATGGCAGAGTTGAACAT